CCCCAAAACCCCAAAACCCCAAAACCCCAAAACCCCTTGGAAAAATGCATAAATTGACAAAAAATAAAAAATAATCATACTTTATTCAAGATGCAGAAAATTCATAATCTTTCAAGGACATATAGTCAGGAAGTCAAAGATATTTGGGATGATAGTGACATGGAAATCAGCGAGGAGACTTGTGAGTGTATACCTCATAAGTCACTACATCATACTAAACAATTCAACAATACTCTGAAGAATAATAAAGGAAAAATCAAGTTAGAGGATCTCTCAGATTTTGTAGGAGTAAATGAAGGGTTTAAACAACAACCACTAGCTACTTACCCACCTGTGAGATTAGTTGATGGTGAATTTGGAATGAGCAATGATAAGAAAGAGATGAATAAAGACATTTCAAACCCAACCAAGCTCAAGAGATCCTTCAAGAGAGCATCCTCTGAGCTCCATAAAGGAGCTAAAATATTATCAGACCTTAGAGGAGTTCCTTCATTTGAACTTCTTAAGAAGATCCATTAAATATTTGAAAGTCCTTCAGCCTCGCCTGAGGAGCTTTCTCACTCTAAATTCGTTCTAAAACATTTTAAGTACAATTGTATCGTCTTTGGCAATATCTGGGTCTATTAAATAAATATTGACTGAATCTTGCTATAATAAGTTATTAATTTTCTCCATTTTGTGAAATTCATGAGCCTATTCTTTATGTAAATCAAACTAAGTTTTCTATAATCGAATTTGATCAGGATCAACAACATAGCTAATGAGCTTCAAAGAGAGAAATTTTAGTGGTGGTCTGGAGCTTGAGGGATTTCAAATTTCTGCAAAAATTTTGAATTTTTTATAAAAATCATATGATTTATTAGCGTAAATATTTAATAGTCTAATTTAGTTGCTCAATTTCGAATATACAAAAATTGGAAATATGGAAATACTATAAATCTAGTTATCTAGCATAGTGAACACTATGTAATATTTATTATGAGCTTGAAGAACTCCTTTAACCTTCCAAAGAATAATAATTATTAAAATTATGGAAAGTTTTGATTTCATATGAAACATTCTTCGCATTTTGTATATCACAGTGCAGCTTTATTATTAGTTTAATTCGAATTTTTCTTTTTGTGATGGTTAAAAAGAGGGTCGGTGATACAAAGCTGTTGCTTTACAACAAGTTTATGCATAAGAGAGAGCCTTTTGGTTTATGAATAATATAATCTGCAGTTGATTGCTTGCAGAGATGAACTGAGTAAAGAGATAGTATTAAAATACTTGTAATTTAAGAAGATTAATAAGCTATCAAATTTTTCAAGGCTCTCGAATTTTGAAAGCGAGCTATAATTATTTACCATAAAGCTATGCAAATAAGAAAAAGTATACCTAATGATTTAAAATTTCCCCGGCTCAAAACTAATAATAAAAGGGTTGAGTTCTATTATCTCTGAATGCCACCCTATTTCAATATTGATATCATAAAACGGGGTTTTGGGGTTTTGGGGTTTTGGGGTTTTGGGGTTTTGGGGTTTTGGGG